TCACTACCAGCATGTAGCATGGATTGTGTCACCAGCATGTAGCATGGAGTGTGTCACTACCAGCATGTAGCATGGATTGTGTCACCAGCATGTAGCATGGAGTGTGTCACTACCAGCATGTAGCATGGATTGTGTCACCAGCATGTAGCATGGAGTGTGTCACTACCAGCATGTAGCATGGAGTGTGTCACTACCAGCATGTAGCATGGAGTGTGTCACTACCAGCATGTAGCATGGATTGTGTCACTACCAGCATGTAGCATGGAGTGTGTCACCACCAGCATGTAGCATGGAGTGTGTCACTACCAGCATGTGGCATGGAGTGTGTCACTACCAGCATGTAGCATGGAGTGTGTCACCAGCATGTAGCATGGAGTGTGTCACCAGCATGTAGCATGGAGTGTGTCACTACCAGCATGTAGCATGGAGTGTGTCACTACCAGCATGTAGCATGGAGTGTGTCACTACCAGCATGTAGCATGGAGTGTGTCACCAGCATGTATCATTGACTGTGTCACTAACTATGTAGAATTAGCAGAGATTGTGTCACCAGCATCTAGCAGGGAGTGTGTCTATGGCAGGGAGTGAGTCACCACTATGATACAAATCGCAATACTTGGTAAACAGTAGGCTCACAAACTAGGCTAGTATATTTCAGTTACAGATTAAATTAAAAAAAAGAATGTTGCGACCAGTAGGTTATCACTGAATGAGAAAGGAAAGAAAAACATTATAATGAATATAAAAAATAAACAGACGAGTCTGGTTGTTATAATCGTCAGCTTGACACATTTACGATGTTTTGATTGGTTCGCTTTATTATAAGCTGTTTTTACTAGTTTTACGTGCTAAATCTTGATGCTATATTAATATTTTAGTTTTATTGCAGGGGAAGGTTTTAAACTGCTGGATCCGCTATCTATAAACAAACCATTTTTCGTTTTAATTTTTTCAGAAAAAAAAATAATTTCACTTATAAAAGGCAACAACAAACAATTTTTAAAATTTCACATTACAAACTGTGTAATTGGTTTCAACGGGTAAAAAGTAAAACTGTATTAACTTGGTATGGTTTGTTGCGTGTAGTGAATATATTATTGTTCACGTTGTATTCAATGTAGTATATGTTTGCCAACGCTAGAACTGTTAGGACTTAACGGTCGAATGATGATCCAGTTTTTAAATCTCAGTGCTGTGAGCCCCTGGAGCACGTTCAACCTACATTCCCCCCCCCCCCGCCACTCAACGACCTCGGGGGGATAATGTCTGAAAGAAAACCTCATGGCGATTGTAGTTGTAGACTGGACAAATTAGCCGATTATAAGGACAAGCCAAATGATAGATATCAAAATAAGCATGCAAATTAAGCAGGTCAAAGACTATATATATTTGAATAAACGTATGTTTTATGAAGTGACTGGCCATCGGATCAAATGTGGTCTTTCATCGAGCCACTAGCTGTCTGAGTACTTTACCGACAGACTATCATGCATCGATAGTGTACTCCCCAATCACTCATTGTTATACACTCCAGAGGCATAGTAAGGAGGGGCGGGGGGTACATATGCCCCCGGGCGCTGATCTTAGGGGGCGCCAAAATGGGTTGTAAAAACAAATTAAAATGTAATATTTTATCTGCATTTTTGCATTATAAATATAAAAAAAAATATATGGTGTGCAAATCGAAAGTTTGAGGGGGGGGGTACACATTGGAAATTGAAAGGTTGCTCCCGAGGGAGGCGCCAAATTGAAAGTTTGTCCCCGGGCGCCGGGAAGGGTCGCTACGCCTCTGATAGACTCCAATATAGAATGTTACCAAATTGTTACTTAACTCTGAGAGTCTATGTGGGGTTTTTGAGGAGATTATCAACGGTACGATACTACTAAATCGATACCGGTACTTGTAGTCTTAGTGTAAGGATTAGGCTTAACGGTCTTGCCCGAATTGTTATCAGCGTTGTGGTTTAAATATTAATTCACAGCCAATCCAGCATATCAAACAGATACAAAAACTTAACCCTTATCTAGTGTTTATACTCACACATTAAAAACACGCAATCCTTTGGTCCAAAAATTAGATCCCACTTTATCTCTCTTACGGATACAATGAAAGCGGTGTTGTAACACTTCGTCTAAAAAAAGACTTGTTTTTACTAGTTAAAACACTTAGTCATATCACAGATGTTCAGCATTAGGCGCTCCGTGACTTATCGGTGTGTTGTGAATTAATAAATTAACGAGTTATATAACTAGTTCTTCACGTGGTACGGTTTTAGCACAAAGAATGATAAACAAAGACGTAGTTACATTTGCTGCTAGTCATTAAGCGGTTTAGCTGGTCGTGTGTCGAATCCAGTGTTTCTTCCAGATTTTTTCTCTGGGGGGAGGGGGGGGGGGGCGGTCACTGTTAAAAGTATATGTTTTCTATATAATTTCCATATCTTTTTGGGGTTGGGGGGGGGGGGCGGTAGAGCTTAAAAATGACAGCAATTCGCGAACTGGCCGTGATGCCCTGGTCAATGTCCGATGTAGGCTGCGGTAAGATGGCGTGTTACTTATTCTGGCTGCGTTTTTATTGTGTGCAATGTATTTCTCGACTCGTGTTTGTATAATATATATAATCTTCAAGACCTGTCACCCCATAATATATACCAACACACCCTGCTGGCCGCCCCTCCCCTCTGTATTTAAAGTAGACAGCAAAAGCCTACTTGTTTAAAGATTATAGAATATTCACCAAGCTGATAAACAATTTTACTCTAAGTTTTGATATAGATCAACATCTAATTATTCTACTTGTTCATTGTTCACAATATTTTTCTTTAAAGTTTAAATATGATGGCCGATTAAAAAAAAATTTTTGGTTTTGATTTAGTTTCAAAGTAGAAAATTTGAAAAAAAAAATTCTTTTAAATGCTTTTACTAGATCTAGAAGTTAGGATTCATCATTAACAGACGTCACGCTTTTTTTGACGATTCCAACCCTCTGCTCATCCTCACACTTCGTCGCAAAATGCCAGACACAGAAAACTAAAATGACGTAACATTTCGTCCTAGATTCCCCATCAGCAATTCAGCTTTTGTTTATAAAACAGGCCAATTTCGTTATAAACTGGTTTCTGAGCTCGGTCAACAAGAAGTAGCCTATATTATATTAATCAATTCCTATTACTATAAGGTAAAATTTATTTAAAAAAAAAAAAAGCTTTAAAAAACACACGAAACAACGGCTCAAGGTCAGTTTGTAGCATTACTTTTAATTTAAAGAAGCAAATGTGAGTGGTCACACATTCTGACCCCTCACCCCCTTCCAAGAATCACATAATTCCGACCCCCCCCTCCCCGTAAGCCCTTGACGTCGTATACGTAGGCCTACGACCCCATAAAACCGAGAAAAGGTTGTCAACCTTTACCCTACCTCAGTGGCGTAGCGAGGTCGGGTGTCACCCGGTTCGGCACTTAATGGTGTCACCCCCTAGAGGCGTAGCGACCCTTCCTGGGGACAAACTTTCAAATTTTCGATTTGCACCCCCCCCCCCCCTCAAGTTTTTCTCTATATATTTAGCTATTTTTTGCCTTGGTGTCACCCCCCTAAATGGGTTCACCCGGTGCGTTCCGCACCCCCGCCCACCCACACCCTCGCTACGCCTCTGCCCTACCTAGGCTAGGCCTAGATTTTTTTTTTTATCTTTTAGGCAAAGAGCGCGCGGCAGTTATGGTTGCAAGTGCACGTTTGCAGTTTGGCATTTCCAATTTTAAAAAAAAATAGAAACATTCTTTTAGATTTGATGTGTAATTGTTTTTAAAAGAATAAATATAATATTAAAAAAAATTAAGATCCAATACAAAGTTTCAAAATTGAAACAATGTCGTTTTGGAGCAACAACTGCATCTTAAAGTATTATACAAATGGAATTAACCTCTTGAAGTATTACAATTGCTAGGGATTCTTTTAAAATCTGGCCATATCCATCCAACTTCCATTCAAAATGAGGGCGTGCTGATAGCGTGCAAATCTCAGGCAATTTCCCGCAAGATAAAGTACCTTTGCGGTTTGTCTGCTAAACTTCTAGACTAGCTACACTATTTCAGTAGTAATACTAGATTTCTAGAACATAGAATCTAATCTAGATCTAGATGTTGATCTTTTAGGCTAACCTAGATGTAGATTTAAATTTTTTAAATATTTTTACAACACATTTGGTCATTTGGGGGCATTTTAAATTAGAAATCGATCTATTCTAGAATAAAGATTCTACATCAGATTTTTACCACCAGTCAAAATAATACCCCCCCCCCCACCCCGTCGCAAGTTTAATTTATTTATTGGGATTTAGATCTTGACCAGTGGTTCTTAACCTTTTTAAAGGTAGCAAATCCCACTAGATCTAGTTCCTAATACGCATTCACCAAACCCTTATGACTAGATCTAGATTCTAGATCTAGGTCTAACTTATATTATCTGCTATGACAAAATATTAAAATAAATATATCTAGATCTATATGATCATGACTTTGGTGTGTGTCTTGACCTACGTCGAACCCCTGAAGCCTGAAATTAATTCACCCAACCCCTGCCTGGGGTTCAGTCTAATCCACTGATCTAGACTCTTAAAGACAGAAGTAGAATCCAAAGTAAATAGATCTAGATCTAGAATCTATAATCTATAGAAATTTAGATGTCTATCTATCTAGCTAGGCCTAGCTACAGCAGTAGCTAGATCTAGATATGGAATCTAGATCTAGTAGTAAAAAAATTGTTTTAAAATAGTGGCAAATCTAGATCTAGAATCTAAATCTAGATCTAATTGTAAGACGAAATAGATTTAGTCAGATCCTAGACCTAGAGAATCTATGGTTAGGCAAAGCCCCCCCCCCCCCCCCCCCGAAGAGATGCCTGGAAGAAACTCTGGCCTTAACTCTAATACTAATGTGCCTTAACTTCGCCTTATATAATACAAATCTAGCAAGTAATTAGTTGCTTTGTTTTCTTTATCTGTTAGTTGCATTAGAAAATGGCAGGCGCCCTCAAATCTTCAGGCACTAGAGATGATGACAAGAATGAGATTGAAGAAATGTTTGACTCAAACAGCTTTCATCAAAATGATATTGGTAATGTGCCAAAAACTGAGCCAGATTCAGACGAGCAAGCTGAAATAGGTTCTGAATTTCAGGTAGTCCCATTCATAAAATGTCTACATTAAAATTAAACTGTTTACCATGTTTTGCTGGCCACTTATTTAATGTTGTTTATTTTTTGTGTGTGATGACTATTGAATTATGTTGTGTTTCTGTAGGCAAACATCACAAGTGACAATATGTACAGAAATGGCATCCCAGCATATTCTATTGTTCTCTACAAGCAGGATCCAACGCCTGGGAATTTACATGATTTGGATCCCATGCTGTAATGTGTTATTTTTTTTTTTTTTGAAAAAGTAACTTTTTCAAAGTATTCATTTTAAAAGTAAATACTATAAAACTATTCAGTGATCTAAATGATTATTGAATAAACTCTCAACATTTGTATAAGTTATGTCAGGTTTACAGCTTATATGGTTTTTCTTAATTTAACAGATAAATTTAACAGTTTTAGAGAATAAATAAAAGGCCGATTCTAGCCGGAATCAGATACGCATGCGCAATGGAGAGAAACTACGACTTGCCTTAGCGGCGATGTTTTCGATGGTACTGCGCATGCGTGTGTTTACAACCGCAGAACCCTAACACCAACCCTAATCCTATCCTTAACCCTAACCCTATCCCTAATCCTACCCCTAACCCTCATTCTAGCCCTAACCCTAGGTCACTGCGCATGCGCAGAGCTATCTTTTGCCAACTAAGTGGAGACGTTGGGGAGAAAAATCTTCTTCCGAGTAGACACTTCTTAAATAAAAATTATGATAATGGCCTAGTTTTTAAAACTTTTTTAAAAATTTGAATGTTGCTTTGTGATCCTGTACATCAGTGTAAAAAAATAATCTTCAGATCTCAGCCATCTAGTTCACCTGCTCCAGCTGCTACAAGTGTACCCAAGTTACAGCCATTTTTACTAGCACAGAATCAGCAAGAGGCCCACTCTTTTATCTCTGCAAATCAATTTCCAACCATGGTCAACAATAATCCCATGTTGCTCAATGCTCAACAGATGGATCCTTTGTGGTAAGGATTTTAAAATTTGTAAAGTTTATAAACACATAGGCAAGACTTATGCATCAGTGGGTTTTTCATTTATTTATTTTTTGCTGCTGGTGTTACTGTCAAGTTGTGATGCTGGCAGAAACATAGCTATGATATGGTTTTATTTTTGTTACAAGTACCAAAGAAGCAGTTTTTACATCAACATTTTGATTGGTTACAATTGTTGCAACATACTGCATTATCTAGATCGTTGAAAACATGCATTTAATTTCCAGTTAAGCAGTTTTAAATTTATTTTCCATTGATGAATTATATTTTCAGGGTTCAGATTTTGTCAAATATATTATCCAGACCAACAGAGAAACAAACTTCTGAAAGTAATGGAAATGCCCCAGTGATACCTAGTGGGATTTACCCTAATGTGGCATGTCCCACCAACAAAACAAATGGAACTCTAAATCAGTTTAAAGTGACTGTGGCCAACAATGGACATGGTTCAAATGATGAGAACAGCAATGTTAAATTATTGTTGAGAGGATCACAGAACAAAAACCTGTCCAGCTATGGCAGGAATAACTCTACCACCAAGCCAGCTAAAGGTAAGGGGTCTTCCATTTCTGGTGTCCTCTTGGAGGGAAGGAGCGGTCTGAAATTTTTTGTCATTAACATCCGTTATAGTTACATGGACTGTAGGTGATGTTGTTCATATTTTAACAAGTTTTTATCTCATTCAATTGTTCCTTTCGCAGGTCAGTTTATCTTGTTGTCTCCCACATCATATACTTCAGAACTTCAGGTGAGGCCCATGACACCCAGTGGACCAGGAAATCCTGGAGCAGTTGGTTTTATTCCTATACCAAACAACAAGGTCTATTCACCAATTTTGTTCAATATTTTAGACAGTTGAATTGTTGGATTAGTTTAAAAACTTAATTATAATTTTTAAAATGTTCTGCTTGTAAACAAAAAGGCTTTTTAAATTGCACTGAAATTAAAATATTCCATTTTTTATATTGTCTCACTTATTCTATCAATTTCTATTTTTAAACACCAGTTATTTTGAGCTATTTTAACATCATCAATATATTTTTAAAAAAAAAGTATTTTTTTTTCATAACTGAATTAAATGGAAATTTGAAAACTGATTGTACTTAAATTGGTGCCTAATGAATGAATATAATTTCAGTTTAACCCTACTGGCAGCTGCTTCATGAACATAAACAGAAATAAGGAAGAATGTCAGCAACCCAGTCCTTTAAATCTTGATGTCAACATGATAAGAAAAGTAAAATAATTTGTACATTGTCTAGCTTATGCAATGCAAATACTTGTTACAAGCTTTTGAGTGTTTTGTTTGGTTAAGTTTATCAATGAACGTAATGATTTTAAAATCTGTACAAGGACTCATATTTATTTTTTGTACAGGTAGATGGAAGTCTAGATAGTAATAAATTGTCAGAGTATAACCTTCCAGTTTTGCCAAATTCCCCTGTCATTGAACATGATGGGGTTGGACCAATGAGAGAGAGTCATAATATGAAGGAACGTAGAAGGAGGTAAAAAATAACTATTGGACTAACAATTCATGTGTTAATCAGATGCAACTTTTCAATAAGGACATTCTAGTTTTCCTTTTCAGGAAAATTTTCCACCAAATATTGACAAGCTAAATTTAAAAAAAACTTGTCCTAAAATTAACATTAAAATGTAATCAGAAACCTGGCTATGCATCCTGTTTCCCATTTTTTCATCTCTTTCTATGGCTAATATTAGGTGGTCACTTACATCTCTGGTTAACAATTAAATGAGCTTGGTACAATTTATATAACATAAATTAAAAAGTACTCAACCAAATAGCCATCATGTATGATTTATTATTTAAAATATAGCTTTAACATAACTATACTATATGATTGTACATTAATTTTATTTAAGGGCCAGAATTAAAGATGCCTGTAACCTGATGCGCCAGCTAGTACCTGGGATGTCAAAGAAAACAGACAAGGCCACTGTGTTTGAGTTTTCAGCTAGATATATTCATTTTCTCAAGTCTTTTGTGGGTGCAACCATTGATAAGGTATTGTTTACAGAACACTAGTATGTCATTCAGCTTAGATATTTACCCCACAGATACCTTATGTTCAAATTAATTTTTTTCACAGGAATTCCTTTTGAAATATAACCCTTACTGATACCCACATCTGGAAGGAAGATATATTTATACTGCTACATCATTGGTTTATCGAAGGCAGTTCACACAGTATCTTTCTGTGGCAATGGTGTATTGAACCCACAGTTAAATTTGAGACAGTTTTGATGTACAAAGAATGTTTTTATTTAAAGCTTCATACTGGAATTATTTCAATGTAGAGTTGCTGTGAATATGTTTATAGTATTACACTATTCCATTAAAATGTGAATAAAGAGAAGGTATTTATTAACATTTGTATTTATTTTAATTCATTCTTTCATTTGTGAATCAGAATTAAGTAATTATTTTTGCTTTAAATTAACTTCCAAATTGGTAATAGTAGCCCTTTCTGCCTATGTAAAACAACCTGAACCCAGTTGTATTGGGCCTAAAGCATCAGACTTAAGTAATATGCAAAAACATGTTTTACGGAATGGTGACAGTCTAGGTTGATTAGGTATATTTCTAGATTTGTGTCTACCAGATACCTGACTGAAAGTAAAGATGGGGCCCTTAGTATGATGTATGAGTCACAGCAATGAGTGACTACTTTATATGCTGCACCCAATTGGTTAAACAGAGTTCACTAAATTGTAAAAATAAGATCCAATTCCAGGAAAATATTTTGCTCTAATTTAAAGTATTGTATAGTGGATTTAAGAATTTAAAAATGATAAATGTGGTTTTCAACCAATTTTGTATGGCTTTCACTACATTATTTTAAAGGTTAGGCTACCCACCCTTGCCAATTAAAATGTTTCAGACATTTTCATTAATTTGTAAGTTAGACAGCATTTTCAGTTTATTTCATGTCATAAGATTCAAACCTATGCTTTGTTAACAAAATTTATTTTTGCTTTAAATATACAAATACAATGATAACAATTCTGTTTGATTTCATACTGTAAAAAAGATCAATGTTGATGACAACAAATAGCAGTAGTTTACACTTCTAATTTGGTTTGGCTATTTAAAAAAGTTACTAAACTGGATTTTCTTAAATATTTGGATCATACCTTTATTTGACTAAAATATACAAAATAGCAAATGTTTTTGGACACAAGGTTACAAGAACTTAGCAGGCAGCTATACTTTGTGATATCTCTAGAGCTTTGTCTTGATATGTTGCCAATCTCTGTTTCAGATCATTGTAAGCCTAGGTAGAGAAGATAAAATTGCTGGGTTAAAGTCACATGACTTTTAACATTACAACACTAGTAGATTTAATGGGGAATAAAGCCTTTTGAAAGAACAGGTAATACACAACACCCATACTTTCCTAGCTTGCTGGACTTTTTGAGGGTGGGTAGTGTGGCTTAGTTAAATTTTAAAAAGGTTTTTTATAGAAGAAATTTACTTGCAGGTACAAGGACCTTTGCCAATCCAATGTTAGTGAAATATAAGAAATTAAACTTAATTTTCAGATATGGTTGATGTCATTTTAAAAAACAAAACAAAAAATAAAAGTAATAACTTACAGAGGAATATAATGGATTGTAGTTTTCCTGCAAAGCTACCATCAGTTGATCAAGACATGTATATGGTACCCATACACTCATAGGTGATGGCTTGTCTATACCCTGGAGTGATACAGGAAAAATACATAAAACATTTCACTATGGAATATCAAATAAGATGTTGACATTCTTTAAAGCTAAACTTATTATCAAATATTTAAGAACTTAGCTCTGGAATACTCCTAAAAAACCCATTTTGGGTTGATAAATTTTGTAAAAAAAAATCAAAAAAAAAATTCAATGCTATAAAATACTGACCCTTAAGTTAAATGCTGGTCCATCAATTCCTCTCAACAAATTTGTGACTACATCCAGGTACTCAATAGCTAGAGAAGCTGCTTGGTTTAACAGGTCAAAGTTCAAATATACTCTTAGCAATGCAGCAACATCCACTTTCTAAAACAGAAAATATTTTATTTTACACACAAAATAAGAACAAGTAAGGATTCTAATAAAAATAACATTAAATTAAATTGATTATGCACACAAAAAAAATGTGTATACTATAAGATAGAAATTTCAATGAAAATGGAAAAAAAAATTCTATCAATTTAAATGTGTCCATGATTGATGATTGTAAAATAAAAATAGTCAATTTCGAAAAAATCATATTTTGTAAATAAATAATTTTAACAATAGGAAATACACCTCTGTAACCTAATTGAAAACTCAATTTAATTTATTCTTACTTTTTTAAAATTCAAGGTTAAAAAAAAACAACATAATTTTTAAATTATTTATTTATTTTTTAGTACAAAAAAAATGAAATATATAAATTGGATTGTCTAAATAGTAAATATCTGCCTAGATTTCTTAGGTTAGGATGATATTTATAAATTAACTCTGACCTTGTATGAATGAATGAGCCATGTTGGAAGATGAAAGCTCTGTGACAGGAGAGTATGGGCAACACATTTATGGCAGACACCGCTTCCATCTTCCAACAAAGTTAGGTAACTCTGGAGTAAACTCCAGGCCTGATCTGCTGCTGTGTTGTCTTTTGCTCCACATGGTGGGATGTTATTTTCACGCAGCCATAGCCAGGCTAAAGCATTGGCATCTGAGTCTGAAATAATAAAACATCGACATCTTTAACATAAACAACTCTTACAATTTTTTTAATTATGAATTTTTTTAAAAAAAATGTAACAATTTTAATTATGAAAATTATTTCTTTTTAAATATAAAAAATTACATTTCTCGGTTTTGTTCATCTTTACAAAAATATAAATATGAGAGGGTGGAGGCATTATCAATATATCAATTTTAGACAAATTCTATTTATTGTAAAGCCAACACTAAAGGAAGTACAGTCCCAGTCTGCACATACTAAACTGTATAGTGGGGATATTTCAAGTCTGGATATTAACTCTATCCTTACAATCATTATTTTCTGTGCCTCTGTCAACTAGGGATGTTTCAACTAACACCCCATCTAGCTATACTACCATCCTATTCAGTGCTAACCTTCAACTTGGGATGTCTGAAATAAGATCCCATGTAGCTATACTTACTTTCTTAGCTACCTTACATTGCTAACCCTCCACTTACTAGTTTTTGTGTAGGATGATGAGATAGCCAGTGTAACACAACGAAGAGATAAACTTGACAAGATGGGCTCAGGAGATAAGGAAAAAGCTCTGGTTACTGAGACTGCCAGGTCATACAGACCAGCTGCACACAACAGGGATACCATTTCTTCTTTAGATGGCATAGGTCCTAGAAATACAAGGTTTTCAAATTTACACATTTAATGTAAGTAATTTAATAATAAAAAAAAACAAAAAAAAAACATGAAAATTCTGGGTATAGCCATTTAGTACAATATCCAAGGTGATAGCATGGTATAGAGGTAGACTGCATGCTTGATAACCCAAAAGTCATGAGCTCTGAACCCGGGCTAAGGATTATAGGTTGTCCTTTGACTGAACTCCCCTTATGTCCAAACCAGGTGGTGCAATGCACTGAGTGAGCAAGCAAAAGCTTGACCCAAACCAGACTGGTAACATAGGTAAGAGAAATGCTCAATTCTTAACCCTATTCCAGTCTGGCTAAAGAGCAAAAGCTTGAGCAAGTAATGATCGTATAAAAGAGAAAGAGAGACGGTGCAATAATCAAAAGTAATCCAAAAATATTTTTTACAATGATTCAAGTATGATTGCTTTTTCATACAATGTGATTAAAAGGATTACCTGTAATTAATGCTGAATCTGGCTGACTTCTGATCAATCTCAGTCTAGCATCCAACAGTAGATAATCTTTTTCTAAATCTGCTAGCTCCAAAATCTCCATTTTCTTTGACCCTGGTTTAAGAACATAAATTTATAAGCTAACATGTTGGAAAATGTAGAAAAACAGATAAGTTAACAATAGGAATATTTTTAAAAAATGAATATGAAATAGAGGTTAACTTTAACAGTTGTTATAAAGTACCTCTCTTCCTGTCTATGTTTCTGCCCTCGCTGTCATGTTTGGGTACTCTCATGGCATTACTTTGGTCTTCGTCTCCTTTGAAGACTGGCTTGACTATCCAGGCATACTCTGGCTTGACAAGCCTCAAAGTGTTCAGGGCTGAAAGGTAGCACTGTGCTTGCTGCTGGAGGCTCTTCAGGCCTGGAACCTCATGGGCTAGCCGTAAACCTCTCTCAAACATGATACGCCCAGCTAAACAGTAATCATACAACTAATTTATTATACATTTATAAAAGAAGTAAACCATACTTTAAAATATTATACATCTAGCTAAGCATACTTTATAAAGCAAACCTCTAAAATATACATTTAGCTGAACGTAATACATCCTATTATACAAATATCTACAACTTAAAACTTTTATTTTCAAAGTTAATCCTCACCTTTCCTATAATCCTCTCTATAAATAAAATAAGAAAATAATAGACTGTAGTAATCATAAGTGAACAGGTCCACAGAACGAGCATGATTCTCCAATATGTAGACCACCTAGTAATGATCAAATGTTTACAGCAAGTAATAACTTGTTACAGCCAGTTTTTGATTACCAAATTACTAAGAAATTATAGACCAAATAGAACATCTTGGCATTGGAGCGATAAATAATTTAATTCAATAAATCATAATAAGTTTAAAAAATTAAAAAATGTATTGCCTCAATGCTAACCTAAGTAAGCCCAAGACTAGTTTGTGCTCACACGCTGAGGTTTTCACAATAAAACATTTTTGTGTCATTTAATCATAACAACTAAGCATAGACAGACCTCCTCTTCCAAGTCTTGGTAATCCAGTGCGACAAGATCTGCCAGATTTCCTCGCTCACAAAGGACCACTAAAAATTTCCTAAGCGAGTCCTTCTTTAACCTGTAAGTATTAGAAAATTTTTCACAGTGCTAAGCAACAGTGCATACAGTTTCTAAAAATATACATTGTGAGAGAAGAGAGTTTAGATAAAATACAAACCTGTCTGTGTCAGGGTTGTTCATCATGGCAGCAAATGCTTCCTGGTTGTGTCCCAATTCTAAATGCTGTTTGAATACTTTGTACTGTAAGGTTGACTGAAAACAACATAAGCACATGATAACTAAGTTTGAACCATGTGCTGTTTATTTCAGGGGGTATTTATAAAACAGAATTACACAGATGGAAATACAATCTATTGTAAAAAAAGTTAATGTTTACATGAGCAGAAATTGTGACATGTAAAAACAAAACTTGAAGCAAACATTAGCTGCGACAAAAAAATAAAGCAATTACCAAATTAGGATCCTCTGTATCAGCTTTATTGATGGCTTCAGTTGCCATGGTGATAACCAGATCTGGCAACCCATGTTCTTCCAGCAGATTAATTATCTGTAACAAACAAATTGTTTCAGATTCTAGTTTTCCTGTATGACAATGCATTATGCTCAAAACATCAAACTAAGTGCATGAATAATATGGTTGTGCACATGAATAATATGGTTCAAAGTCTCAAAAAACCAAGGTGTATTATTAAAACTTCTTTGTTTTATAACTACAACAAGAAAGTTTCTACCTAAGGTCTTCATCAGAATATTTTTTCATTTCAAAAAATGTATTCTCCTGAATATTTTGTTATAACAATTACCAGTGTGGTACATTAGTTAAAAAAAAAACAACTGGTTAAACATGTAGTGTTACCTTGAGATAGTAAAGTATCTGTAGTTTATAGTGGTCCACCTCCTCTGTCTGCAGCAACTTGTGTGACAAAAACGCTTCAGTAGCCACACCATCACTGGCATCTACAAACATATTCACTGCTTTGTGGGGCTCACTGAAATGTTACATTTTGTCCTCAATGTAATGGTTACAATGTCATTCATATACTTATATTTATAATACTTAACTAGAATCAATATTAGTAGATGCATATGCTTAAAGAGGCTCAATAAAAACGAAGTTTCAAAATTTAAAAAAAAATTATAGTGTTACAAGACCAGTAACAGCTCAAAACACTAAAACATAAAATAATTTGGATATCTTAAGCTGACGTGTGAAAATGTATGTCAAATTTAATCATTAATGTAGGGGTTTAAGGATATTACAATTCGCAATTTAACTTAAAATACTAATTCACTACACTAAATGTGGATAGACAATACTAATGGTAAGTTAACAGAATGATAAAATAATGTGGAAATTTTACAAATAGTACTTGTCATGTGGTTAAAAACGGTTGCCCTTAAGCTGAAATAGGACTTACTCAAAATGCAGATAGGACAAGCCCATAAAGAAAGCTCTGGATCCTTCATTCCATGTGCACCATGGGGAGAGTATGTGAACATACTCCTGCAGCCTCAAGTACTGGCAAGTGCGTGCTAGGAATTCTGGGAAAATTGTGTCATCTGTTGCTGGCCAGCTGAAAGTTGGCTTAAGGAAAAATATTATCTATAGCTTCTAAAGTAAAAAGTAAAAATATGGAGAAGGCTGGCTCGATGAAAGAGATATTTAACAATCCTACATAAAGTAACATTTAAAAATTTGAAGAACAAATTATTTTATTATAAAGTTCTGCTAAAAACAGTACATGCAACACCTACACTGATCCGTAAATAAGTGAGTGTTTGCACATACATAAATGGTTAGGTTATTTTTTTTAGAATAACTGAATGAAGGATACATGAGAAGACTTAAGGAGATCAAGAACCCATTGAGGTCTCCTCTCCAGATGCCAGTTAGTGAAGTGCTATAAGAGGACAACCTGCGTCTGATCAGTTCTCCACCCACACCCTCAAGAAACATCTGTATCACATAGCTGCTCTGAGTTGCTGAAATATATATTCAAAAATTACAATGCAGTTTTAATTCAATCAAGGCAGTTTTCATTGATAAACTTGATTAACATATATAATACGTAATAAGTATAATACTTGATTTTAAAATCAAACTTCATGAAGGTGCTTGAATGTATGAGCAAAAAGATTTTAGTAAAATTTACAATTGTTGGTCAATTTAAAAGAATGACTTAGGACCTATTCTTGTATACTGGCTATACAAGGTTAGTGTTATTTTATTTACAGATAAAAAAAAGCTTACTGGGTCGAGTAAGTGAACGAGGCTCAGAGTTGTCTGTGATCTTTAGGCTGCTCAGCTGTCTCAGGTTGAAATCTCTGGATGTATGAAAGGAATAGTGGTTGCCATAGTTACTCATAAAACCATATTTCAGGGTTCGTACTGCTTTTTGAAAATGAAATTCCAGACTTTTTCCAGACATTTTCCAGACTTTTTTGGAAAAATTCCAGACTTTAGACAGATAATGTGTTAGCGAATAATTTTTTAAAATGATGCACTATTTGTACTGTCATTATAATTACTTATACTAAATAGACATTTATTCCAGGCAATTGATTTATATTCATAGTGAACTTTCTCTAGCCAAATTGACAGAAAATCATTTTATCTAAGTTTGTCTACTCTACCCTACCTAAAATTTTAACAATTAAAATAATTGATTAAATGATGCAACTATTTTGTTTCCAACATTAGACTTATGTAATCTGTTCCTGATCTAATTGCTTATGTTTTCAATTAAATTATCATTAAAATGGTATTGCATAATAGTGAGACTTAATTACTTTAAAGAATAATAATGTAATGTATTAATCTAGGTCTGCTCTTGTTAAGTAGCCTAATATAGGCTACTTGTAAAAAAAAATGTAAAGCAAAAAAAAAAAAAAAAAAAACCACATCATTCACTGTTTGTTCTTATAGTAATAGATTAGTAACGTGTCTGCAATAAAAAAAAATTACCGGAATCCCCCCCCCCCCCCCCCACACACACACGACACGGTGAAGGGGTCACTGTGAGGTCATATTAGTCTAGATTTCAGTATACCGGTTTAATATGTCATAACATGAACTGTGCCATGACTTATACCCCCCCACCCTCCTTACCAAGCAGGACCAATTACGTACTTGGGGTCACGGTGAGTTCACACAAGTGACCGATGTTACAAGGAGGGGCGGGGTAGTCTAACTTTAATCGTCAGCATTTGCAAATATTTCAAAAACAGTTTAATGGAAGGTGGATTAAAATTAAAGGGGTCATCCATTTATGACGTACACATGGAGGGGGGAAGGGGTCGGAAGATTTTGTGATTACATTCTAAAACAAACATAAAACTTGTATCTTGCGTGTAGAAAGTAAAATTTAGACGACTGTGCTGGTGTTTTAAAAACCATCACAGCGTGTAAATAAAACAGGGTATTTATATCTGCCCTAACATTATTGCAAGAGTGTGTCGTCACACTTTATAAAACCGTCCTCCCGACTTTCCGGAGTGTGACGTCATTTACGGACGACTCCTAAAAAAATAGTACCTCTTTGATAAGCTTTGATAAACAGAAATACAGGTATGAACCCAAGGAGGCCTTGCGACTTATTAATCTTTTAAATGTTAATATTAATCCAAAGTAAGTGAACGCGTGTGGACAGAGGGCGGAGGGGGAGTGGGGAAGGGGGTGGGTCTAAAATCCGAAAAATTGTTGTAAGTCATACATGGATGACGCCTTACAGACTGATAAATTATATCTAAACTACCACTCACTCTTCTCCCCCATAATCTTTTGTTATAACTGCCTGCATGCAAACTCAAACGATGAAAAAATAGCGGGTAAAATCGAGAGCCTAACAATTCTGAGGGCGATCATTCTTTCATTAAATGACAATTGTAAGTAATTGTAACACATTCACACGGTCAGTCGCGCCACAAAATATCTCTTCCCACCCTTCCCCTCTTCTCCCAATGACGTAGTAACTGAGCATCCGTTTTTTCCCTGCGAACCAGCGACAAACGTCACAACATAGTGTAAACCCGCGCAATAGCGCGGGGAAAAAAATTGGAGTAAATTCACTTAAAAATAGCAATTTTTTAATTTGGAAAATATGGACTACGAAGTTTTGTTTCTAAAACTAGATTCCAGACTTTTTCCAGACTTTTAAAAAATCCTGCCCAAAAACTAGCGATTTTCCAGACTTTTTTAAGTCTTAAATTCACTTTTCTAAATTCAAGACTTTTTCCAGACTTTCCAGACTGCGTACGAACCCTGATATTTCTAGCTTATGACAAAATTTTTTTTTACTGGGATGCGTTTGCAGTATGGGAAGGTAAGGCTGGGCTGTAGAGCGCACTATTGCTTTCCTGATGTCTCAGGTTCATACACTTAGCTCAAATCCATGTGAACTGTCAGTGTCCACCACCCAGCTCTGATGGGTACATGACTGGCGTTATAGGAAACAAAAGGCAGCTGGGTTTAGAACTGACCACACTATTCCTTTACAATCTGAGGTTAGGAACTCTACTTCATTTTCCATGTTGACAATCAGGTCTGACAAAGTATTTCTACATCACTTGGTTAGTATTACACTAATATTAGAACAAACTTTAACCCCAACCAGGTGGTGGTGTAAACAAACATTCCCCTGGTGATTTACACTGTGCTGTTAGGGCTAACAGTACTTAAGGCCTCTGACCATTTTTCATGTTGACAATCAGGTCTGACAGTGTATTTCTACATGACTTGGTTAGTATTACACTAGTATTAGAACAACTAAGTGGTGGTGTAAACAAACATTCCCCTGGTGACTTACAGTGTGTTGTTAGGGCTAACAGTACTTAAGGCCTCTGATGCCCACACAAGAACCTTGAAGCAGCGCAGGAGATACGCCCCTTTGGGCAGGAGCTCATTCATAATCGCATCTTTCATGGATTGAGTCAACCCTGACTGTAACATTGTAAAACAAATTTTTTTTTAGTTTATCAAAGAGAAAATGAAAGAAAGCAAAAACATTAGTAATATATTTTTTAATGATACCTTAAAAGTTAAATTCAAGAGCCAAATAGAATGCACTCAATAATAATAAGGACACACCCCCCCCCCCCACCATGTAATTGGCTCATAATAGGCTTTAAGCATAGAAACATGTGCAATAGGATATCATACGACAGTATCACAACCAGAAAAATTGAACATGGGATAAACACTTCATATTAAAGTTCCCACATTAACAGGCAAGTATCATTTTTTCTAATAGAAATTCTAAACGTAATGTTTAGCTAGTTAAAAGTAAATGACCACCAACCTCTTCCATTAAGTTTGCAGCTATGGCCATGAGTACTGTTAAGTCTCGCACAAACTGAAATCTCAGGAGAGCCAACTGTTGGAAAGACTGTGTCAGGACAGCAGTGCCCAGGGCTCCAGAGAACAAATGGCTGTAGTGTTGGTGACTGGGTTGATCTGTTCAACATCAATTAGATCACATTAAGGCATCACATCAAATGCAACTGCATCACAATATTAATTAGTGCACATAACAGCATCACATCAGGAGCATTTGAACATGTAATTAACAAGAGAAGCTGATGCTAATTTGTTTTCAAAACCAATTGATTGTTACAAATATCATGAAACTATTTCATACACATAGAATAAATAATTCTATAGTGTTACGACTTAATCAAGTCTAAACTTACTTCTATTTCACAACTTAAAAAAAAACCATAACATCAAACATCTTAACTACATTCATCATATCGTTGTCTATGCTATCAGTCAGTTGAATTATCAGTCATCTCCATCTTACCTACGCCCTCCATCATATCATTTTCCAAGTCATCAGTCAGCTCTAAGATGTCAAACAGAGCCTCAATGGCTACCACAGGGTTGGATGTTTGTTTCAGGAGCTCTGTGATGCTATTTATCACTGACTGGTCATTTCTGTAGACACATTTTTTCCAGAACAATCAATCAAGTAAATACTTCAAATACTTTTTAGCAACTACATCGTTTCTGTCATTTATTTTTAAGATATTGTAAGCCCAAAAAAAGTGAGGCAAAAAATAAAAGGCCAGAATAGCACTTGACAGCTTCTTTAAACATATAAAAACATTATGCTGAAAGACAGTAAATAAAACCACCTTGTAATGTCCTAGAGGTTCAAAATATCTTACAGTACTATATATCCATAAGATTCCCTTAAACTTACATAAATATCCTTGTGATTCTCTACAATAAATAACTAAGCCTACTTGATAATATCCTTATGATTTCAACAAAAAATAACTTTTAAAAAAAAGCCCCTGACCCTACCTTAAAATGTCCCTGAGATTCTCTATAATTAATTAGCCTACTTAATGATTTCAACAGTAAATAGATTTTAAAAAAGGTCCCTGAGCCTACCTTAAAATGTCCCTGAGATTCTCTATGAGAGTGTCAGGGGGGTCTAGACTCTGCAGACAACACTGGAACATGTAGGCATCCTCAGCTGGTATCTCACAGCTGATCACCTGGACTGCCGTACACACAAGTCTCATGTCCTCAATAAACTGAGCAACTGGGACACCTGATTAAACAAATGCAGATGTTAAGACAGTCTTGATAGGTTTTTTAAAATCACTGTCTATTGGGCAGATGAAGTAGAGCTCATCTGTTAATATGACATTGGCCTATAAAGAGTGGTCAGCACAAGATATCTTGACTTTCCCAGTCAGGTATTCATCTGGGCTGGACTTTGGGGCATCTCGTGGTCAAGACCAGAGATTTTAAAGTTAGTAAGTAACTCCGAACCCAACTTCTCAACATTGACAGGTTTGAATGTGATCAAGTCATGTTCTACACAGAGGATGGTAATTGAACATAAGCTGATAGAGTAGTGCCGTCATGTCCTACCTTCTCTAGGGAGTTCATGCTTGTCCAGGGTTGATTGGGATATCCTGATGGTGGGGGAGAGGTAGAGCTCTTCTGTGGGGTCACATGGTCTCAGCACACTGAATGTTGACTGGACAAAATAAGGACATTACTACACACTGAATGTTGACTGGACAAAATAAGGACATTACTACACACTGAATGTTGACTGGACAAAATAAGGACATTACTACACACTGAATGTTGACTGGACAAAATAAGGACATTACTACACACTGAATTTTGACTGGACAAAATAAGGACATTACTACACACTGAATGTTGACTGGACAAAATAAGGACATTACTACACACTGAATGTTGACTGGACAAAATAAGGACATTACTACACACTGAATGTTGACTGGACAAAATAAGGACATTACTACACACTGAATGTTGACTGGACAAAATAAGGACATTACTACACACTGAATGTTGACTGGACAAAATAAGGACATTACTACACACTGAATGTTGACTGGACAAAATAAGGACATTACTACACACTGAATGTTGACTGGACAAAATAAGGACATTACTACACACTGAATTTTGACTGGACAAAATAAGGACATTACTACACACTGAATGTTGACTGGACAAAATAAGGACATTACTACACACTGAATTTTGACTGGACAAAATAAGGACATTACTACACACTGAATGTTGACTGGATAAAATAAGGACATTACTACACACTGAATGTTGACTGGACAAAATAAGGACATTACTACACACTGAATGTTGACTGGACTAAATACGGACATTACTACACACTGAATTTTGACTGGACAAAATAAGGACATTACTACACACTGAATGCTGACTGGACAAAATAAGGACATTACTACACACTGAATTTTGACTGGACAAAATAAGGACATTACTACACACTGAATGTTGACTGGATAAAATAAGGACATTACTACACACTGAATTTTGACTGGACAAAATAAGGACATTACACACTGAATGTTGACTGAATGACATTACTACATACTGAATGTTGAGTAATAAAAACATTACATTCTGAATGTTGAGTAATAAAGACATTACACATTGATGTTGACTGGACAAGACATTACACACTGAATATTGAATGAACAAGATAAAGACATTACATATTGCAAGTTGACTAAACTAGATAAAGACATAACACAATGAATGCCGATTGAACAAGATAAGGTATTGGAAACTGTTCAACAGAAGCATCCCGTAAGCATCCACAGTAATGAACTGATATTGGTGAAATGAGTAAACTTTGTAAGTAAATAAAATCAAGGCAGTCTTTCTCAGCAGACATTATTATGGTTTGTAAACGTAGGTCAGAGAACACCCAAGTAAAAAGAATATGTAATTACCTTTTTGATGACAGCAAATAGGCCAGTGACTGGATCAGCAAACAGACCTTTTACTTTCTCACCAACCTAAAAGAATTTGAAATAAACCCTTTTAAAAGCCAAAGTAAAATATGCTTTAACCTAAATTGAATAAATGACAACTACACCTGTATTCATAAAATAAAAACTACCTGTTTATAAATAAACTGACAAATCTTCTGTTAACCCTGTAGCATTTTGTCAATCAATTGACAACTTTACCTGTATATAAACCAACTGATAACTCTAATTGTTTATAAACCAACTGACAACTGTACCTGTTTTATAACTCAGCTGACAACTCTACCTGTATATAAATCAACAGGTTGACAACTCTACCTTTTTTATAACTCAGCTGACAATTCTACCTGTATATAAATCAACAGACTGACAACTCTACCTGTATATAAATCAACAGACTGACAACTCTACCTGTTTATAACTCAGCTGACAACTCTACCTGTTTATAACTCAGCTGACAACTCTACCTGTATATAAATCAACACACTGACAACTCTACCTGTTTATAAACTAAGTGACAACTCTACCTGTATATAAATCAACAGACTGACAACTCTACCTGTTTATAACTCAGCTGACAACTCTACCTGTATATAAATCAACAGACTGACAACTCTATCTGTTTATAAACTAACTGACAACTCTACCTGTATATAAATCAACAGACTGACAACTCTACCTGTTTATAACTCAGCTGACAACTCTACCTGTATATAAATCAACAGACTGACAACTCTACCTGTTTATAAACTAACTGACAACTCTACCTGTATATAAATCAACAGACTGACAACTCTACCTGTTTATAACTCAGCTGACAACTCTACCTGTATATAAATCAACAGACTGACAACTCTACCTGTATATAAATCAACAGACTGACAACTCTACCTGTTTATAACTCAGCTGACAACTCTACCTGTATATAAATCAACAGACTGACAACTCTACCTGTTTATAAACTAACTGACAACTCTACCTGTATATAAATCAACAGACTGACAACTCTACCTGTTTATAACTCAGCTGACAACTCTACCTGTATATAAATCAACAGACTGACAACTCTATCTGTTTTATAACTCAGCTGACAACTCTACCTGTATATAAATCAACAGACTGACAACTCTACCTATTTTTAAAGTCAACAGACTGACAACTCTACCTGTTTATACTGACAGCAGCAGGAGTAGAACTTCTCCCACTGTTCGCGCTGCAGCTGTGTGTATTCCTCCTCTCCCAGCTCATTATCTGTTGCATTGTTACGAATCTGGAAACAATATTTATTTTCACATTAAAGTCATATTAATTTCACTGAACACACAAGCTTGCATGTACAAAAAATGACTTCCATTTTTAAACTGCATGAAAAAATAAACTAAATGTAATGTCTAGCTATTACTCTATATCAGACTTGAAAATGTACAGTTTAATATAAAAATTGATAAGAAAAATAATATTAAATTGGAGTTAGCAGCAGTGTTGACAATTTATTAAACCCACATACTTCAAGATCAACAGCATTAGTGACATCATCCTTTAAAGCTGCCATGTTGAATAGGGTCTCCATCTCTACAGACGGAGCTGCACATCTTCTGTAGACCTACAATATAGTTTAGGCAATTGCAAAAATTACTGATACTGAAACTTGTACATATAAACACATTAAAAGTGATTAAGTTAAAATACACGCAAAATAAAAAACACTAAAATATGGTCCTCCATCTGATTTTTGTTTTAATATTACAAATGTGTAAATTAGTTGCATATTTTGGCCTATGAATGTCTTGCATTTAACGATTTTTTTCTGGACAATTTTTTTAATGCTTAACTTTTTTAGAATAATCCTGCATTTAGAGTGATATGTAACCAAGGGAAGCTACTCACACTAAGGGCTTTAACAATATCTTGAGGGGAAAAGAAACCAGGGGAGAACATCTTCTCTAGGTAAACATCCCTGGGATCTCTGTGTTGTGGCACCACAACAAAGTCATGGGGGGTGGACAACAGCACTGGCTCCCACTCACTGCTAAGGGATTCCTCTACACTGGAAATACAAGAATCAACAATTCTGTAATAAACTCTGTAATTACTCGTTTCTAAGTACAAAAATATATTTATAGAAGACAGTGAGCTAGAAAAGTATAGAAAAATTAATTTGTAAAAAGATGAAGTTTCTGAGAAATTATAAAAAACCTGATAGCTTTATTTAAATGCTTAATTAAAGTGTGAAAACTAGGACTTGTCTACAGTAAAGTGCTTTAAACCGGATCAAAATAGCAATGTTTACAAGTTGGAGTTAAGGTGAATATAGAGATGGGAACTTGATAAAATATAACATACTCATCTATAGGTGTGGTCAACACTTGTGTCTCCCCAGCCTGTGTTGTCCACAGAGACATGAGGTAGTCACGGGTTGCAACAAAATCCACCAGGTCTTCTTGCTAAAAGTTTACAAAAAAAAAACATCAAGATTTATAACTCATCAAAGTAATGAAATATTAAAATATATTTTTTTTTGTATTAGAAAAATAAAACATTAAATATAAGTTATCGAAATATGGTAAAACTTAAAGAATGTAGAAAGCAAACAATAATTATAAAACTGTAAAAACTTACTGGTGGTGATTTGTCCAATGTAGTCAGGTGTTGTACAATCACCCTGTTTTTATCTAGCACAGGATCCAGGAACACAAACTGAAAGTTAACATTAGATTCACAGGTAAACATTCCATTGATTGGTAAACATCCCAATCTTGGGTAAACATCATCTCACTGGTATTAAAATCAGATTCACTAGTAAATACCCCTGTCAATGGGTAAACATTAGATCCACTAGTAAATAGTGATAAGATAAATATAACAAGCACAAGTAAATAAATAACTAACAAGTCAACAACCTCACAAGCAACCACATGTAAGCAGCATCACAATCTAGCTTAATCACAATGAAGCACCTGATCTTTATATATAAGACCTCAATTTTTAGACAATATTTTCTAGACAGTTCTTACCCTGGATTTATTTTGTAAACAGAGATAAACACAGATGCCAGTGGTGCCTTCAATGACCTTGATGACATGCCCAGAGGCTACAATTAAAAAAAAGTTCTTCACAATTAAATAAATATTTTTACAATACATTTTATTTGATTAGACAATCTGTTATATTTGTGCATAATACATTTTTTTGTAATAAATAGTGGTAATAAAACAGATATGAAGTAATTAAAAATAATTTTGTAAAAGAGATTCCTTATAAAAAGCCTACCGTTAACAATCGGTGTGGTACCAGTTTCTTCAAATTCTTCACTAGTGTAGTCCAGCAAGTTTTCTACCAACACACAATCTTTGGTCTATACAAAAATATGCTCAAATGTTATAACTTCAAACACAAAATCAGTATAAACTTTAAACATAAGTTTTTATTTACATGCTTAAAACTGCATAATTACAAATTACTTTAAAAGATAAACTAATATCCTTATAAAACTTGGTTATCATTTTATACAGAATGTTTAAAAATTCTAACTAAATTCTATCAAAAATATAAATGTCCAAATGCAATTTAACAATAAAGTTATTGATATTACCTTTGTTGACCACACTCTAAGCCTAAAATCTCGACAGACAGTGAATATGTAGATATCTCCAGCTATGGTCAGCAACTCTATGCTCACAGCTGTCTCACCAACTGGCTGACTGCCCCTGAAGAGTTTAATTAAAGTTTTGAAAATAAAACCAACATCATACTAAGGCAAATTTGACTGTTAACAGATATTCAAAATGTACAACAAATACCTCATGACACCTGGGATGAGACCATTCCAAAGTTTCTTCATCACAGACGAGCATGATAGTTCTTGCTGGATTATCACACCTTAAATAAAATAGAATACAAACTAAAATGTAAATTTTTTAAAAAGCAATTATATTGTTCACTTTTTCAAATATTTTTATTGTTTGAGAACGCTACAAAATATTTTCCATTTAATACAATTTCAACAGTACTATTAAGTGTAAGTTCAAATAGCTTGTTAATAAACAAATGCCCATATGACAACAAAAATATGTAAAAAAAAAAATTACCCATGCATTATTCGCCTACTAACCTGTGATTCCTAGAGGAGGCATTTTGATAAGTAAAATTCCACCAGTACTGTTAGAGAGAGCAAAAATGGCATGACCGTCACTGCAAACACAGCTTGCGCCAACTGAAAAGTGGGAGGTTATACTTCCGCCAGGTGTTAGCAGGAACTGATTCTTGGGATCATCAGGTAAGGTGGCATCATAAAATATTGACGATGCATTTTGTTCAGACAGTACAAAGGCACTCTGTATAAATGAAGACAACACTTCAGAAAAATGAAATACAAAATTTACCTAAGATACAGCAACAGTGATGTGTATTTTATTTCAAAATAATAAAACATCAGGAGCAATCTATTTGTGGATGTATAAACAATTTACCGGTCTGTTGAGCTTGCTGGGATGAGGGAACACTAAACGATGTACACTTGCAACAGTGGCAACCAGTATGACAACATTCCCATGAGCTTCCTGGACTGTCACTTTAGGCAGCACTGGTGTATCTTGGAATTTGTATCTGACCATATTACCAGACAGTGACATGTCAAGGGATTCCTCAACAAGTTCCAACACATCATGATGAGTTCTCCTATGAAATAATAAAATATATATTTTACACAAGTCAATTACATTTTAACTATATTTTACATAATTGCAAAAGTAAATATTGAAAGTATTTTGGTTTCTTTTCCCTCTTCATTCTTAATTATAAAATTGGAGAAAATTTCACCCAACATATTTACCAGTTATTTCAATCTAGTCTACATTTACTAGCTGACAAGTGTGTTTAATACATTTTTAATATTCTCACCAATAAATGAATCGATTGCGCACAGCAGAGCCTGCACTACCACTGTCAATGTAAGAATAGCCTCCACAGCTCTCTGGAACCTTTATATCTTGGAGAGTACTAGCAGATGCTCCTACAATGCATGACGAAGAAGGAATATAAATTAGCACGTTCCACCGCAAGTTATATTAAATCATTTCCATGGGGCAATTTTTTCGCACATTACTAGTGTCGGGCGATTTTACTACGCACCTTTGAAAACAATAGTGTCAATAGATTACCAAAAATTTACACCTGTGTGCAAACAAAATATGATATAGGCCTGGTACATCACATTTTATGATAGTCAATCTAGGCTTATTTAATTATTATTATTAATTACTTAGTGGCCTATTGGCTATCGTAAACTAAGTTCCAGTTTCAAATTTTTTCTAGAATTTAAAAATTTCTACTAATCTACTTTCATTTTCATATTTCAGAAATGGCGGGATAAGTTCGCAGTGTTTTAATGCGTTGTTTGACCGATACTTAACAGTATGTTTTATATGAAACAAACACTACACTAAACTTTACCTGTACATATAGTTATGGCTTTCCACCTTGACGAACTAGTGGCCGGCACTGAAACCTCTCTAAACATTCTCCCTTTTGATACAGGCGCTGCCATTTTGAAAGGATGCAATTTTGTGTAAACTAAAAACTATCATCGGATATCAACAACAAAACTCACTAGAAAACTTCGCGCTTTTAGCGCGTACTTTTAGTTTATGGACACAAAGTTATAAGTTGTGTCCTTAAATAACTTATAGATCTAACTAAATATCTTTCGGTCGGATATCCAGTTTTATACTCTGTCTAACAAAATGACGCGAGTAGATTCACTGCTGCCATCATATTTAAGCAGAGCAACATTATTTTTTCATCAAGTCCAAATGACCAGCCTGCTTACAAGATTTGAACAAACACGTTCATTAGGCATCTGATCTACATTATTTACATTTAAATAATAATATGCATAGCCTATACCTAGGTTATGTTAGTTTAGGTTTGCCTGTCGCCCCTCCTGGGATATAGACAGCTGACATGAGTTTTCCAGGCGTCTCTGTCCTGGGCTAGTCTCTCCAACAGTTCCCAGGTGTATCCAATCTTCTTGGTGTCTTCTTCCAGGTCACGTCTCCAGGTCTTTCTTGGTCTTCCACTCCTCCTCCTGCCCTGTGGATTCCAGGTGAGGGCCTGTTTTGTTATGCTGGATACAGGCTTCCTGAGTGTGTGGTAAATCAGATTGAGACGAAAATTAGTTTGAAAATCGTACCCTCACAATCAATGAGCATTGTGTGTTTGTCATCAGTGCTGGATACAGGCTTCCTGAGTGTGTGGTAAATCAGATTGAGACGAAAATTAGTTTGAAAATCGTACCCTCACTATCAATGATCGGCATTGTGTGATCAGTGCTGGATCACGCTTTGCTGGGTGCATCTTTATTTGAGTCCATTCAATTCCCACAGAGAGAAGGAGAAAGCAAGGGTGGCAGGTCATGTTACAGACCATAACTATCACATACACCCGTAGTGTTTCCTTTAGACATTGTTCTCTGAAAGAGGGCGGGTGGACATTTAAAACTTTCATGAGGGGGCGGGGAGCATTAGTTAAAGTATGACCTATACTTTCTATACAAATATTTTTTTTCTTTTTTAGGGGCGATAGACTTACTTTGGGGCGCCCCTCCCCCTCCCCCGCACTACGATGCTTGAAAGATAGTCAAGCTTTGGGACTGAAAGAGTGCAGGCTACTTTAAATGTTAGTATTCCGTTCTTTATTTATAAATACTAGATTATGCATTGCGATGCTCCTTTTATAGATAAAAGAGAGCTTTCCTTAAAAAAAATATTAATGATTTATAACCGATATAGAAGTCTAGATCTAGAATCTAGATTCTCGTTTTTATTCCCTAGGCTATATTGAAAAGAATGCTATTGAATGAAGTTTCTTATTTAGCCTTTATTTTTAAGTAAAGAAAACAAATCTTCGATAACAGAAGTTGCTTTATAATTATTTTTAAACCTTGACTAAATTTGAATTTTGAAATCATCCAACTTTTAGATTTTTTTAAATAACAAAAAAAGTTAGGTTTCTTTATTGAAAAATATTATCTTCTGTATGTAGCAGTACATTATTTCATACAGCTATCTCTGGCATTTTTACGACATACACACCTGTAACTTTTGACCCATGACCTCGACCTCTCACACTTTTTTCCCTTCCTCGTAGCGTACCTGTCAGTTTATTTACTATTGACCAAGGGAAGCAACAAGTGAGGCTTTCTATCGAAGTAAGGGCCCAAAATGGCGACCGCTTTGCTTCGCGATAGGCTACCTCCAGGTTGTCAAATCGGCGTCACACAAGACGGGAGAGTATTTTTCATTGAGTAAGTTATTTTAAATTTGTAATCCAGCTTGGCCAGTTCAGTGAACATACTTTTTAAAGTTGTTTTTAACATGAGCATGCAACAGGTAGAAATAAAAATGGGCGATAATCACGACGCTAGTACTAGATCTAGATCTAGATCTAGACTATATTTTAGTTTTAACAAAAGAAACTTTCAGTAAAAGAAAAGGGTAGGCCAAAATCCAAAAGTGGGAAAAGGACTTCACTGTGCTGGCTGGTGACTATTGTCTGCAGTGACTAGATCTAGATCTAGATTTATTCTTTTTAATTTAAAAAAATAGGCCTACTACTACTGGAAAATAGTTATTAACTATAATAAATAATAGATGTCCTAACTGACAGCCAGAGTTTAGTTTAATAATAGATCTATAACTTGAATGATATTGATGTCTGGTAGTTGGTAGGTCTAAATTAAATTGACTAAATTTATTTAGTAAATAAAAAAAATAGGCCTATTATCGTAAAATAATATTAAAATATTAGGGCAAGAGCACTAATAATATAATATACTACAATGAGAATAGTAATATAACCAAATTTTATAGGCCTACTTAGTATGCCCTACTTGGCTTGAAAAATTATTTAAAAAAAAAGATGTAGTCCTAGGTGACACAGGTGATATTTAAAGAGCCCATTATTTTTACTATCTTTACAGTTTAGAAGCAAAATAAATTATTAGCCTGATAAGTTAAATAGATCAATTGGGCCTAATTATATTGTTATTTATAGGCCTGTTGTCTCACTGTTGACGTTGATTCTAATGTATAGGCCTACATTTAAAATTACAAGACCCTGTACTAAACCATCTATAAATACTAGCCTATAGATTATAAATATGATAGGACCTATGTTTTTATGATAGCCTATATATTAATTATTATTACTTATTACCCATCCTAATTTCCTTCAAGTCGTAGGGGCTACCTAACTCATCATCAGTCTGACAAAGACAGGTATTGGTATTGGGGGAGGGGTTAAATATTTACATTATTTAGTCTCTTAATAGGCTCTATTATATAAGGGAGACTAGTAGAGCTCAATTGTTTTATTACTGTGCCTAAATTAGCTGGTTATCGGGCAGATGAGGCTCCTTAGCTGGGGACAGCCACTCTTCTAGGAGAGACAACTCCAAAATCAAACAACTGCTGCCTTGTAGTTTGTTCTTGGTTGGACAAAGGCTATGGAAGCAAATCCAAAAAGAAAAGCAGGCTGAAATCGGAGTCAATGGCCTCAATGGCGCATAACCAGTTGACACGTATCCTTAATTGTGATGGAGGCGAGGTCGAGTCCGCTAAAGCTAATATTCGAAAAAAAAAGTCTCGAGTTCAAACCCTCTGGCAGATAAGGCTCGATTCCCTCCAACACTAAAAATTAAGAACGAAGAAGAAGAAGAAGCTGGTTATAAATTTTCCAAAATTTTTGCCACGATGTCATACTTGCCAATCAAATATACAACGTCCCAGCTATGTTGTTGACACAGTCATCATCAAAATATAATACCACACCTCAAATAGTGTTTTCTTTAGCACATTCACAGTCTAAAAACCTTCATCTTGAAGTTATATTTTCATATGTGTAGAGCCTACCTTAACCATTGTGATTTGTATGTTCCAGTTAAGGTTTGGTATCATTTATCAATAATGCCAATTTTAATATTCATTTTCTGTTTATTTTAATGTCAAAGGCTTAACTCAAACGTACAATGAAAACTACTGTCAATAGATTAAATCATACAAGATCTAGCAGGCATCTATCTATATATGTTGTCTTACTTACTAAGTAATTGCTCCATACTATACAAACTAATTAGTTTATGAAATACTTGTTTAATTACTATTTTATTATTAAAGTATTTCCACTATAAATTATTTAAACTTTTACAAAATTTAGTTGAAAAAAAAAACACTTCAAAATATATTTTTAGTTTTTCTTCATTGGGAATTACATATGTGACATTAAAATCTTCCTATGGAATTGTTAAAGTGTAATTACGTTTCCTTTCTAATTTAACAGTGACACACGGAGGACAACTTCCTGGCTGCATCCTGTTACAGGTGAGCCTGTTTCAACTGGATTACAGACCAGTCAAGGTGAGAGAAACAAATCACTCACTTACAGTAGTTACACTTAACATGCAGTTTCTTAAGACAAAATTTTTTAAAATGAATATATTCTTTTCATTCATATTTATGTTCACAATCTATAACTAATGTTGCGTCTTCAGAATTAGCCACAATATCTATTAAAAGACACCTATGCAGAGGTAGTTTTAATTAGTTAGCTCCAATTCTTTTCTACCTGGAACTAGTTAGTCCTTATCAGCGTGAACCACATGGCTAAGGGTGGGCTTACTAGTCCACTGAACACTGGCTGCATTACCCTTTAACTTAAGGGGAGAGCATGTTTGTTGTTCTATACAGTGAGAGTTATCTTCCCCATTGTTTTGTTCCTTCATGCCAGCTTTGTTTATGAGGCTAATTGTCTATCTGGTTCTATTTATAGGGGTGGACTGGCCTTTAGGTCTACAGCGAAGATCCCTGTGGCCCCATGGGAAATCCTGTTGGCCCCCCCCCCCCCCCCCCCTAGGAAAAAACCCCAGTGGGCCCCAGAATTGGTGTTGTAAACCTGTAATAGGCCTATTGGTGATTTCATTTAAGAAAAAAAAATGAGTTGGTATTTCTCCATCTTACTATTTCCAATTAAAATTCAATTTGATGGGGAAAAATTGCACAGTGAACTTTCAATCTGGGGGTGGGGGCCCCTTTAAAAAATTCCCAGGCTTCTTGATACAGCCAGTCCATCCCTGACTATTTAAGTTGTGTAGTGCACTAAGGTCAGGCCTAAACTCTTTTAAAAAAAATTCTTCATAAGAATCTGTAGAGACATACCAGACCCATACAGTTAGAAATGTACATTATTTGCACCTATGACCTTTATTAGGCATAGTTTTGTTTATATATCTACATTGTTTATAATGGCTGATTTGTTCTATATTGTTCAGCTTCATTTATTCTTATCTAGCTATATCTATCAGGAGTTTGTTCTATATTCTACATTACACCAGCTTGATTTGTTTATTCTTAAACTTACAATGTTTATAAAAGTTTGATTTGTGCACATTATTGTACCAAGAGATGTGTAACACATGAAAAACTTGTATTTATTAGCTCATAAAGACCCCAGTACAAAACTATACAGGCTCCTATAGATCCCAGTACAAAACTATACATGTACTTATAGACCCCAGTACAGAACTATACAGGCTCCTATAGATCCCAGTACAAAACTATACAGGCTCCTATAGACCCCAGTACAAAACTATACAGGCTCCTATAGACCCCAGTACAAAACTATACATGTACTTATAGACCCCAGTACAGAACTATACAGGTACCTATAGACCCCAGTACAAAAGTATAAAGGTACCTATAGACCCCAGTACAAAACTATACAGGCTCCTATAGACCCCAGTACAAAACTATACATGTACTTATAGACCCCAGTACAGAACTATACAGGTACCTATAGACCCCAGTACAAAAGTATAAAGGTACCTATAGACCCCAGTACAAAACTATACAGGCTCCTATAGACCCCAGTACAAAACTATACAGGCTCCTATAGACCCCAGTACAAAAGTATACATGTACTTATAGACCCCAGTACAGAACTATACAGGTACCTATAGACCCCGGTACAAAAGTATAAAGGTACCTATAGACCCCAGTACAAAAGTATACAGGCTCCTATAGACCCCAGTACAAAACTATACATGTACTTATAGACCCCAGTACAGAACTATACAGGTACCTATAGACCCCGGTACAAAAGTATAAATGTACCTATAGACCCCAGTACAAAAGTATACAGGAACCTATAGAGCCAAGTACAAAAGTATACAGGAACCTATAGACCCCAGTACAAAAGTATACAGGAACCTATAGAGCCAAGTACAAAACTATACAGGTACGTATAGACCCCAGTACAAAAGTATACAGGTACGTATAGACCCCAGTACAAAAGTATACAGGAACCTATAGACCCCAGTACAAAAGTATACAGGAACCTATAGACCCCAGTACAAAAGTATACAGGAACCTATAGACCCCAGTACAAAAGTATAAAGGTACCTATAGACCCCAGTACAAAACTATACAGGCTCCTATAGACCCCAGTACAAAACTATACAGGCTCCTATAGACCCCAGTACAAAACTATACAGGCTCCTATAGACCCCAGTACAAAACTATACAGGCTCCTATAGACCCCAGTACAAAAGTATACATGTACTTATAGACCCCAGTACAGAACTATACAGGTACCTATAGACCCCGGTACAAAAGTATAAAGGTACCTATAGACCCCAGTACAAAAGTATACAGGCTCCTATAGACCCCAGTACAAAACTATACATGTACTTATAGACCCCAGTACAGAACTATACAGGTACCTATAGACCCCGGTACAAAAGTATAAATGTACCTATAGACCCCAGTACAAAAGTATACAGGAACCTATAGAGCCAAGTACAAAAGTATACAGGAACCTATAGACCCCAGTACAAAAGTATACAGGAACCTATAGAGCCAAGTACAAAACTATACAGGTACGTATAGACCCCAGTACAAAAGTATACAGGTACGTATAGACCCCAGTACAAAAGTATACAGGAACCTATAGACCCCAGTACAAAAGTATACAGGAACCTATAGACCCCAGTACAAAAGTATACAGGAACCTATAGACCCCAGTACAAAAGTATAAAGGTACCTATAGACCCCAGTACAAAACTATACAGGCTCCTATAGACCCCAGTACAAAACTATACAGGCTCCTATAGACCCCAGTACAAAACTATACAGGCTCCTATAGACCCCAGTACAAAACTATACAGGCTCCTATAGACCCCAGTACAAAACTATACAGGCTCCTATAGACCCCAGTACAAAACTATACATGTACTTATAGACCCCAGTACAGAACTATACAGGTACCTATAGACCCCGGTACAAAAGTATAAAGGTACCTATAGACCCCAGTACAAAAGTATACAGGAACCTATAGAGCCAAGTACAAAAGTATACAGGAACCTATAGACCCCAGTACAAAAGTATACAGGAACCTATAGAGCCAAGTACAAAACTATACAGGTAGGTATAGACCCCAGTACAAAAGTATACAGGTACGTATAGACCCCAGTACAAAAGTATACAGGAACCTATAGACCCCAGTACAAAAGTATACAGGAACCTATAGACCCCAGTACAAAAGTATACAGGAACCTATAGACCCCAGTACAAAAGTATACAGGAACCTATAGACCCCAGTACAAAAGTATACAGGAACCTATAGATCCCAGTACAAAAGTATATAGGAACCTATAGAGCCAAGTACAAAACTATACAGGAACCTATAGACCCCAGTACAAAAGTATACAGGAACCTATAGATCCCAGTACAAAAGTATATAGGAACCTATAGAGCCAAGTACAAAGCTGTATATATCCCAGTACAAAACTGTATAGACCCCAGTACAAAACTGTATAGACCCTCGTACAAAACTGTATAGACCCCAGTACAAAACTGTATAGACCCCAGTACAAAACTGTATAGACCCTCGTACAAAACTGTATAGACCCCAGTACAAAACTGTATAGACCCTCGTACAAAACTGTATAGACCCAAGTAAAACTGTATGGACTGCCATAGACCCCAGTACAAAACTGTATAGACCCTCGTACAAAACTGTATAGACCCAAGTAAAACTGTATGGACTGCCATAGACCCCAGTACAAAACTGTATGGACTGCCTCCATTTGCATTTTTTTTGCGCTGCACTTCCTAAAATGTGCCCAGTGACAACCATGTCATACTTAGGATGATTTATCTCCCTGCCCTAATGCAAATGTTCCGTCTTCAGTTTGTGGCACTGGACATTCAAGGAAAGCTCTGAGATGGATCTTCGAAAGTAAAGTGACGTCCATAAATTGATGTTACATCTGCACATCGCCCCCCCCCCCCCCCCCCCAACTCCTTAACGTCACACATCGTTACAAAAGTCCTCCCCACGCCCCCTCCTTTAATTTTCAACCCTCTAAAAATCTTTTAAAACAATATCATATTTGAAATGTCTTGCTCGCTTTATAAACAGTGTTCCTTCTGGCTCACCCCCCCCCCCCCACCCCCTCTACTATTTTACCCCAACTAAAATGCTATCTGGGACACCTGGTGAAGTATAATGAAAACAGCCCTGGCGATAACTCTCTCCCCTTACTTCCACTCTGCTTACCTCCCGTAAATATATTTCCCAGAGAGTGGCCTCCCCTTGTGACATTTTTTTTTTAAAGCACCTCACACTTGTCCCACCTTCACTGTTAGCATAGTGCACTCTGCCGTCTGCTTCAACAGCGGCGGATAGAGCGGAAGTTGTTACAATACTTCATTTGTCATTGATGTCAACTGTTTTTTTCTTGGCTGGAGCAGACGGAAAAATTTTCTGTACAGTTTTCGCTTTTAACAGTAGCAGACGGATAAATTCCTCTACAGTTCTCGCTTTATGCAGTAGCAGACGGTTAAATTCCTGTACAGTTCTAACTATTTTGTAGTAGCAGACGGATAAATTCCTCTACAGTTCTCGCTTTATGCAGTAGCAGACGGTTAAATTCCTGTACAGTTCTAACTATTTTGTAGTAGCAGACGGATAAATTCCTGTACAGTTCTCATTTTTTGCAGTAGCAGACGGATAAATTCCTGTACAGTTCTCACTATTTTAATGAAACATCGGTTTAGACGGAAAAAATCCTGTACAGTTCTCACTATTTTGAAGTAGCAGAGGGATAAATTCCTGTAGTTTATATGCTCTCCTTATCACATACGGATACACTGTTCACAGCACAGTCGCGTATTTAAATTGTTTGGACATTTCCCCAAGAATCGCTAAGTGCAGATATGAGGAGTAAGTAGTAATATCAGTAGCTACTCACTGTATACATACAAGTTGTGTGTATTTGTTACCATTTTAAAATGACGACTTTGTCATATATCAATAGATCGGTCTCACCTATGTATTCGCCTAGCTCAACTCACCGTTGATGGTACTCCATCTCATAGGATTAAGAAGTTTCTTAGATTTGTACGTATTGCAGAATAGCGTGTTCGTTCCTTAGATCTGTGGTGACACTTGATGAAAATGGGACGCTTAAAGTGTGTTTAATAATATAGCACATCTCTCGTGTCACTTTATCTAATGCATGTGTCACTTTTCTATTGCGTGTGTCGCTTTTCTGCTGCGTGTGTCACTTTTCTATTGCGCGTGTCGTTTCTGAAGCGCGTCATTTTTCTTTATTTTAAAAATAATATTGACAGATGCTACTTTTGCTACTGACGAACAATGTTCATCTAACTTTTTTTTAAATGTGCACATTATTTTGAACCATTATCAGTCTTAATGCCAGGTTATAGCCCTTTAATTTGCCTTTAGTGTTATGGTTCTCAATTGTTTCCCCGTTCATTGTGAGAAATTATTTTCATTATTTGTGTTTGATACTTTTTGAGTGGAGTCCCAATGTAGTAACTTTGTGTACGTTGAAACGAAAGCTACGAGGGTTGAAGGCACATTCCCCCTCCCCCCTTTTTTTGCCCTATATCTGTTAAATAACGTCAAGCCGTTCCGTGAAATTTGTACATAGGCACTAACAATAAAGTGTGCTTGTCCTTCAGACCTTTTGTCTTCTCCGGCTGAGTGAAATCGCCATGAATAGCCCAGCCAGGGTTTCGAGAGTTCAAGCCTTTGCTTGACCCATAAATGACGTCACGTAGTGTTGACAACAATGCGTGCGCGCTGGGGCTCTCGCCTCGAGGCGTACTACACCGGTGCGAGACAGCCAAACAAGTGCGTAGTTCGCGTGGGTTGGAATTTGGGTGACAATCACTGGAATGTATCTCACGACTAAAGAATGTCGATCTAGCTAGTCAAACCATTCACGTATTGATCACGTTTGTAACACCCATTTCCGGTTTTCTGGCCCAGCAGTCTCCGGTTCTGCCTACCTTCCACTTTACCCCAGACGTTTCATTGTTTTATGGACATTAACATTCATGAACGGTAACTCTGCAGTATATCAACATTCAAAATCCGTGCCGCCCTGTTCTCTGATGTCGGGCGTCGGGTCGTATACAAATATTTAGGGCACGGTGGTGTGCTGGGGGTTGCTGTGTGTTGGGGGGGGGGGGGGGTAAGATAATAAAGTTACCGTATCGACGGAGATGCAAGGTAAATGTTCCGTGCGGGTTTGAAAGTTTTTAGTCAGGTAGTTGACTGTATCAGCACGTTACAGCACTGGATTTTAAGTCGTTAAAGTAAAGGTTAGTGTAATTTAGCATTTGTTTATTTTACTCGTATTGCCTATATATAATTGCTAGGCTGTTCTTGGTGGATTTGTGATTTTTTGAAGTATAATTTTGTTGCAGAATAACTTTAAAAGTTTTAATTTTAAGTGATTTTTATTTAAACATTTTTATAACTTTTAAGATATTAAATATTAATTTAAATACAATGGAACTGCTAGATAAATATCATTAAAACAGTCTGATTAAATTTTAATTAGTAACTTCACACATCATATTATACACTTAGTTTTAAAACACAATGTGTTCTAAGTTTCTATCCTCTAAGTCAACTATCTGTCATATACGTGTTGAACACTGTATCTAACCAAATGTATTCTAAGATTCCATTCTCTGTCCACTATCTGTCATGTACGTGCTGGACACTGTATCTGCCGCATATAGCAAGTGTTTGTATCTTCTCCCTCTCCACATCTGTGGCAAGTGCTACTCCCCATCGCCACTACGTAGACTTAGAGTTTAGCAACTACTGAAAGTCTCATCGTGGTAAAGTCTCGTTCCTGTGACTTCAGTTGCTGTCTTAGTACTGTTCGACCTCTCACTATTTTGTGTCCCACTTTGTGTTGAATTACTCCCCTTGATGTTATTGAGTTATTCCCCTCGACGTTGTTATTCCTCCGACGTCGTACGCTATATATATATATATATATATATATATATATATATATATATATATATATATATATATATATATATATATATATATATATATATATATATATATATATATATATATATATATATATATATATATATATATATATATATATACTAGCCGTCCCGGCCAGGCCCTGCTCTGGCTTCTGTGAAAAACCCTTCTGTTAAAGACCATCACCTGTGTGTTTAGTAATCATCATAAACCCGGCATTGCCCACCCAAACCACAACCAACCAAAACCAAAACAACAAAACGCAAACATAACGCTAACACAATTACAAATACAAACGAAAACAAAAACTTACAACAAACCAACCACAACCACAAACACCAATACGAACACAAAGAAAAAAGCAAACGAAAACAAACCAAATCCAAACACAAAACCAACCACAAACACAAACCCAAAGAAAAAAACAAACGAAAAAGCAAACGAAAACAAACCAAATACAAACGCAAAACCAACCACAAACCCAAAGAAAAAAACACAAAAGAAAAAAACAAACGAAAACAAACCAAATCCAAACGCAAAACCAACCTCAAACACAAATACAAACACAAACCCAATGAAAATAAAACACAAACGAAAACGAAAAAAGAAAGAACAAAAACGAACCAAATCAAAACGCAACCACTAACGCAAACCCAACCTAAACACAAAGAAAACACTAACGCGAATATAAACGCAAAGTGCTCACGGGGCTGAATCGCCTACTTCAACTTAATAAACGACTATAGTACCCCAACTTATTCATAGTCTTTTGCACTCACTTTAATGAACGTAGGCGCGAAACCGAACACGGGAGGCCCGGGACCCCAAAAAGCACCCTGTCTGGGCGCCAGAGGACGCACCATGACGTCACCGCCTGATTGAACTTAGTAAACGCCTATAGTGCATAACTTATTTATAGTCTTTTGAACTCACGCGAACGTAGATACCATAGCGTACACCGGAAGGCCCGGGGCGCCAAATAGCACTCTGTCGGGGTGCCGGAGGACGCCCGGATTTGATTCACTTAAAGACTATAGTAACCTTTCTTATCCATAGTCTATCGCACTGTTTAAAACAAAATTATGCAGCATAGCGCTCACATGATAGCCCAGGGTGCCAAATCAAACCGTGCAGGGGCGCCGGCGGACGCGCCTGTTTCAATTTAGTGAACAAAAATGATAATACTCCAAGCTTATCCGTAAATGGAAAGAAATAAACGTATATGATTTGTAGGACCTGGCTTATTAAATGTTATTGATTTTTAAAAAAAAATAATAATTATTGAACAGTATGTTCAGTGTATAGAATAAATAAAAGGCAGTGTTAAAAATACCTAACGACATTGCACTTAATCAATCCCCGCTAATTGTGTAATTATTTTTTTTTTCTTAACACCAAAAACAAAGTAATAAAATGTTAATAACTTAATTCTCTCTTCTTAAGGATTTATTTTTCATTAAAGGGAAGTAACTTTGCAGTCAATACATTTCCGACACAATTTTAGAAATTTTATAAACGTCGATACACTTTTTAAAAATTTTATGTCGCGTTCATAATTGAAAATTATTCTTCTAAGTAAATAGAATGAAAATTGTTTTTAAAGACTTTCAATGGTAATTTTTTGACTCGTAAATTTAGACTTTGAGCACGATAAAAAATCTAACACTTAAATCCGTAGAACTGTCAACGACAAACTTTTTTTTTGCCACACGTTACAGAACTGAGCTTTATATATTAGATATATATATATATATATATATCTAATATATAAAGCTCAATTCTGTAACGCATATGTTTGTCGTTGGCATTTCTACGGATTTAAGTGTTAGATCAATTATCGTGCGCGTTTGTCTAAATTTATGAGTTAAAAAATTACTATTAAAAGTGTTGGGAAATCATTTTCATTTTTCAAATTATAGTAATAATTGTCGGCATGTTCATTAAACACAAGTTTTAAAAAAATATCATCTTTTACAAAAATTCTAATTATGTTTTTATTTAGTCCTATAGCGCTTACTTCCCTTTGATAAATTAGGCAAAACACAATTACTTCCCTTTATGAAATCATTGCATTAGTTCAGGGGTCTCCAAACTTTTCAGTCCCAGGGCCGCATTAAGTATTAAATTTCAGTTCGGGGGCCAGTTACTTCCAGGCATGTCTTTGATTTTTCTGGGCAAGGTTCCTCAGCTATAACCAACAAACGTTTTTTCCTTGGACAAAAAGATCTCCGCGGGCCGGATGAGAGGACCTCGCGGGCCGCATCTGGCCCGCGGGCCGTAGTTTGGAGACCCCTGCATTAGTTGAAAAGCATTTACTTTTTAATTACTTTGTTTTGGTGTTGGGAAAAAAATAATTAAATAATTAGCGGGGATTGATCAAGTGCAAATGTTTTAGGTATTTTACGTATAAGCTTGGAGTATTATAATTGTTCATTAAATTGAAACAGGCGCGTTCGTTTAAGTGAGTGCAAAAACTATGAATAAGTTGGGGTACTATAGTCGTTTATTAAGCTAAAACAGGCGATTCTGCCCCGGGCGTTTATGTTCGCGTTAGTGTTTTCTTTGTGTTTAGGTGGGTTTGCGTTAGTGGTTGCGTTTTGATTTGGTTCGTTTTTGTTCTTTCTTTTTTCGTTTTTGTTTGTGTTTTTTTTTGTTTGGGTTTGTATTTGTGTTTTTGGTTGGTTTTGCGTTTGGATTTGGTTTGTTTTCGTTTGCTTTTTCGTTGTTTTTTTTTTGGTATTGGTGTTTGTGGTTGGGTTTGTTGTTAGGTTTTTGTTTTCGTTTGTTTTTTCTTTGTGTTTGTATTGGTGTTTGTGGTTGTGGTTGGGTTTGTTGTTAGGTTTTTGTTTTCGTTTGTATTTCTAATTGTGTTAGCGTTATGTTTGCGTTTTGTTGTTTTG